GCCGCGGGCGTTCCTGCAGAGCCTGCGCCCGCTGTACGACATCCTGGACGACCGGCGGCGCGGCTACGTGCACCTGCGGGAGATCGAGTCGCGCTGGCTGCAGCCCGGCGGCGAGGCGGGGCAGCTGCCGCGGGGCGTCTTGGAGGGGCTGCGCCGGGCGGCCCCGGCCAGCGGCTACCTCACCTTCGAGCGCTTCGTGCTGGGGCTCCGGCTCTCGCTCCTCAGCCCCGAGCAAGGGGACGGCCCCGCGGACGCCGCCGGGGCAAAGCTCGCGGAGCGGCCGCCCAACGCCGCCGCCGCCGCCGCCCCGCCTCTGAAAAGCGGCGATCCCGCCGCAGAGAGGGGCGCTCGGTCGGGCGGCAGCGGCGGCGCCCCTCTTAGCCTCGAGCAGAGCGGCAGCGACGGGCAGGCGGAGCAGCGGCTGCAGGGCAAGCGAGCCGGTGAGTGACCCGCGGCTGCCCGAGCAGGGAGGCAGGTTCCCCGAAGCGCCTCTGCCCGCGTGCAGAGTTCTTTTCTCTTGGGGAGCTTCCCGTAGTTGATGGCGGCGTCGGTGCCCTCAGCCGGGCTGACCGCAGCTTTGGACAATCCGGGTTTAATTGGGGAGGGGGAGGTCACTGGTGGGACATTAAGGGGAATGCATTGATTCAGGAGTCGGTGGGTCACTCCCGGGAATTGGGGGGCTACGCCTCGGAGCAGCAGCATGCCATCAGAGGGCAGATTCCCAGGGAGTTTTCGTTTCGGAGCTGGGGGGGGGGGATCTTTGGGAAAAGGGAAGAAACAGGCCCAAAGAGCTGGTTCCTTGCGGATGGGGGTCTACCAGGGCCACGCGCGCGCGCACACGCATATACACCCCGGCCCTTAAGCTGGGTTGGTCTCCATTTCACGCTCCTGTTCCCATCTGCAGCAGGAGAGGCCGGCAGGAGATGGAAGCCGGCCAGGCAGCTGGAAAACGAGGGGCCTCGGAAGGAGGCCCGGAGGCAGCTGAGCGCCCGAGGGGAGCACCGGAGGCACACCATCGCCAGCGGAGGGGACTACGAGATGGTACTCTCGCACGCGCGTGCCCCCAGGACTCCTTGGCATCCGGTGCTTGTACCCCAAGTCTTGTTCCCTGCATGTCCCCCCCCCACACCTGCCAGGAGAGCTAACAGCTGGCAAGGCATGGGGGTGCCCCACCACGCCTGGCCTGCTGGCCGACAGCTTGAGTTGCCTCCCACGGTAGTGCATGGGGGGCGATGACGGGAGCTGCAGTCCAAAGCGCGGGGAGCGTGCCCAGCTGGGGAGAGGCGGCTCTGCTGGGCCACTCTGCTGGGCAGTGGCGATGAAAGGAGGGGCGGCTACTTGCCGGCTGAGGGCCCCTCGCTTGGTCTGTCCCGGCAGCTGAAGCAGGTGAAGGAGCTGGGGGAGGAGGAGGAGTTCTTGCTGCGAGGGCTGGAGCTCGTGGAAGGGGCTCGGGAATGGTATCGCCAGCAGATCCGCCGCCTGCAGGAGCAGCAGAAGCAGCTGGGCCGGAGTGCGAGTCACCAGGTGAGTCTGCCTTGCAGGTCAGGGACTCGGAAACCACAGTCCATAGCCCAGCGGGCCGTTCCAGAGAGCATGGCAATTGTGTTCCACCCGTCCGTTCCAGCCCCTTTTGGAGATGCTCGATTGGGGCGCTGCTTGTGCAACCCCACGCGCATCGCAAGAATGCAATCAAGCAGGCCCACGCTCTTGGCCCTCTGGCGTAGGACCCTGTGTGTGCAAGAAACGTGCTGCGTGTTTCAAATCCAGCCCCTCGCTTCAGTTGCTGGAGGTCCGACGGGGGTGGGTGAGGGTGGACATACCCTTAACGGGTAGAGTTTGCTGCTCGAAATACACGCAGGGCTTGGGGTCTTTAGCTTACGTTTCCATGTTAGAGCCTCCTTCCTGCCACAGCTGCCCTCCTCCTGGCATGTTGCCTGTACATCCCCCCAAACCCCACAGCTTGAGGCTTGTGGGGAATTCACTCCCTGCGTGGCTGGGGAGGGCTGGCCAACCTGCACGGAGGCCGCCAACGGGGACTCGGCCACAGACCCACCCCCTTTTTCTCAGCAGGACTTGCCTGCAGAGGGAACGCGGACTCAGCTCAGCCGTCTCTTCCCCCAAGTGCAGGAACTGAATCGGTGCCTCTGGCAGTTGCTCTCACTCTCAGCAAAGGTGAGAAGAGCCCTGCAGCAGTGGGGCTGGGGCTGGGAGGCACTTCAGGGCGTTTGGAGGGGCAAGGCGCTTCTGCCCATAAGGAGGGACTGGAAAACTGGCTTGCACTTTGCCTAAACCTGGCATCCTTTCCCTTCAGCCTATGAACTCAAGCCCCACGGCCCCGCACAGCCCGCCTGCTGCTCTCCTGGGCCCCTCCTCTTTTGCAGGGCCACAACAGACCATCAATATGTTGAAAGAACAGAACAGACTCCTCACCAAGGTCAGCAGCAAGGAGCAAAACCTGCCTTGCACCCGTCTCCTCTTTTCTGGGGGGGGGAGGCCCCAACCTGCCACTTTGCTAACACAGCTTTGCCCCCAGGAGGTGACAGACAAAGGCCACCGGATCACCCAACTGGAGCAGGAGAAGTCGGCCCTCATCAAGCAGCTCTTTGGGGCTCGTGCCCAGAGCTCCCAGGACACCAACCCGCTGGACTCCACTTTTATTTAGTCTCCGGACACACCTTTGCCTCTCGCCGGGGAATTTCCCCCCTCAAAAAGGCGGTGGGGGAAATGGGGAGTCTCCCACCAGGAGGGCTGCAGAAAATTCTGGGGACTGCACTCTCTCTGCAGCCTGGCCAAGACCCCTTCTTAGCTCTGTGGCCAGTAGGAGGCATCACAGCACCGCGTTTGGAAAAGAACATTCATACTCTGGGCTTCCCCCAAACTGCAAGATCAGGAATGGGGGCCAAGACTCCTGTTCTCGGTTTCCTGCCCCAACAAGGCCTTCTCACTGACTGCAGCACTCCTCGCCCCGACGGGATGTGCTTGTCAAACGATGCACGCCAGACACGTCGGATCCAGCTGATCTGGATTCCCACCTCTTAGGATAACACTGACTCTCGTTTGCGCACGGGTTGATTCTTTGGGTGAATTTTTATTTTCATTGTTGGCATTCCTATGCTGCTGCACTCCAAAATGTCCCTGGGAGGTGCACGTGTGCGTGCTTCTTCTCTGTAACCGAAAATCTTTGGAATCTGCTTGGTTCCCTTCTCCACTGCAAAGGAAGGGCCCTCAGGCGCGCTCGGCTGATGGGCTGTTTGCAATTAGCCGTTTTTCACCATAACAGGAAGATGCCGTAGGATTTCGGAGGCGCTGACTTTTCTCCAGTTGCTGCAGATGTCTCTTATGTTTACATATAAATACTGTGTGTAGCTTTTTGAAGGTTTTTTTTTTTTAAATGTTAGTTTTGCCTTTGTGCAACTCCAAATAAAAAGGTTAAACAAACCGATCTTATTTCGCTGTGGCTTATATGCCATGGCATTATCTGAGTGGCTCGTGCTTGCGTAGAATGAAGAGGTAAATCTCTGCCCCTGAGGGGCAAAAGTAGATGCCTGAAAGAAATTAGCCTCAGACCAAAGGGATGGCTGAGTCTGCTCAAGGGACGCTGATAAAGTTAAAATCAAAAATTCTGGCCGCAAGAAAGCTTTTGCCTCAAGAAGGAAGCGAGGGTCAAGTTAAGGATGCGTCAACTGCACCGCTTACTTTCAAAAGGTGAGTTTTTTTCCAGGGAGTTGAGAGGGCTACTTTCTAAGCGAGTAGTCTGGGACAATACTTTAAAATTATTAAATAGAATCAGTTTTTTTGTACCGAACTTTGTGGGGGGAAGAGGGGTGAACTTCTGCTACAAGGTTGTGAGTGGGACAGCGAAGGACCCTGCTCTGCCCCGAGAGACTTCTAAGTTCGGGGAGATTTGCTTCGTGTTAAGGCCATCAGCCATTCGGGGTCGATTCATGAGGTGTGAGGCTGGTCTCCCCCAGATTGGGCTCCATCTTGGCTCACAGAAAGCGAAGGCCCGAGCAAGGGGCCGGCGGGGGGGGGCTCACCCTGCAGCCTCTGGCTGAGTGCTACCCACCCTGGCTCTGCAAGCAGGGTCCCCCGCTGTGGCAGTTCACTCCCAGACAAACCGAACCGTTGCTCGTTTCCTTTGTATTGCCAACGTGAGATGGGGTCATTCTGGGGGACGGTAGAAAGATGCCCAGCTCTGCCGACCTTGGGGCTTCTCCCCATAGTGAGCATCAACACATGAGGGGTCGTGTTCCACGCAGCCTTCCAGAAACAACGGTGGGAGAACCCAGCTCGGCCTGAAAGTAGCTGCTTGCTCCGTGTCCGGAGAGCTGATCGCTTTGTCCTTCTAAAACTGCTGGCGCGGGGGGCAGGTTGAATATGCAGTCTGGCCTCACCCAGACGTGCTGGTGGCTTAACATATGTTGCAATAAGAATGCCAGGAATGGATCATATTTTCAAATGTCCCTTTGCCTTTGTTTCTGCAGCGTTGCAACACATTCGCCTGTTGATCATTGGCCAGCCAGAACACAGGCCTCCTGCCTGGTTTATGGCCCCTTGCTTAATTCTGATCAGGCCAGAGGAACCTGGGAGCCCCCTCCTCTAAAGCACCTGCCAGGCTGCTTGAGCCCAGATGGGCTCTGAAGGCCTCACATCGCGCTCAGCCACAAACCTGGCCAGGTTGGCACAACACATGAAGCCAAGACCAAGCTCAGAATATCTAGGATCGCGCTGTAGTCAGAGTAATCCCTTTACCGGGCCAGCCCCAAGGTCACTGGCGAGGGGTGAGCGGTTCGGAGCTCAAGCAGGGGTGGGGAGACCCAGGGATTTTGAAACCTTGCCGTCGGCCTGCTATTCGCCTTAATCTGCAGCATCGTTTTGTGTTTTACCCCTGAAGGAAGCTGGGGCTGGCTGGTTACGCTTTTGACACTTGCTACCACACTCAGGAAGTAGGAAGCTAAAACTGGAAGGCGAGGAACGCAACGGATGTGCCCTAAAGCTGCAGGTGAACATTTGCAAACCCCCACGTCGGGGAGGATAGCTTAAGCCAAAACAAAGCAAAGGAGCCCCTTTTATGACTAAGTGGCTCTCGGGAATTTTAGGCAGTGGGGGACCCTGCTGGGGTCTCTCCCGGGCCTGGGGTCTGCAATGCAGGGGCTCCAGAAGGTGACAGGGACTGAGCCACTAAGGTTACCTGCAAAAGTGAAGCATCGGAAGGGCCTGCGCAGATGCCCAGGGCTGGGAAGCAGTCGTGAATGAGCCTGGCACTGGGACCTTTTCCTTGTTAATGTGCTCCCAGCTAATCGGGGTGGCTCACCCGTTTCTGCAGCTGCGTTTGGCCAGAAGCACATCCTGCTCTTTGCAGGAAAATCCCCAGCCGCAGGGGAAAGCGGCCCCTTGCCAGACCGGCAGTTCTCCTCCTGCATTGCGCGGCAGTGGTGGGCTTCTGGGCCTGAGAGGCCCCTTCTCACCACCTGCTGCTGCCTTGCTCCTTCCCTGGAAAGGGACTCTTGAAGGCAAGGAGAGAAGGAGCAGCAGCTCTCATCTGGCTGGCCTTCCCAACAGTGCAGCACAAACGTGGTATGCTGAAGCTGCAGATGGTGCATCGAGGGGGCAGAAGGCAGAAGCCATGTCTTCGGTAAGTCCCAGGAAATCCAAGGGGATTCTGGAGACCCTTTAGGGATGATCCACCATCTTGTTCCCTCTTTAGGGGCTGGATTGCATCTGAGCATGGAAGTGCCAGGCTCCCTCAACAAAACCCTTGGCGTGTAACACTCCCTGTTTTATCGCCTGCCATCTCGTCATCTGGGAAGGAATTCCAGAAGTTAACTCTGGAGCGCTGCAGAGAATGCGGGAATCCAGGCTTCCTCCCCACCCACCTCAAATTCCCTTGTTTTCTTGGCTTCGTGCACTCCTGAGTTCTGAGGGAGGCGGATCACAGGATTCTCCCACCCAGCGATCCAACTTTGCTTTGGCCTTGTTCCCGTTCATCTAATAACAGATGTTTTCTTAAAGTCAGAATGAATTCCACCCTTCTCCTCCTTCCCAGAATTAGGGTCCTTCAGGAGGAAAAGAAAAAGAGGCCAGCCAGCCAGATGGGGGGCTGTTATGAAGAAGAAATGCCCCACTGGAGACGCCTTTCTCTGCCCAGTTCTGGAGAAAGCTAAGCCAGGTGCTCTCTTTTTTGCTGGTGGGCATCTTGGAGGCATCTGACGAACCTTCCTGGGAGCTTTTGAGCCAGGCTGCATCAGTTCTGCTCAGTTCGGGCATGCTTGCCGCTGGCACCTCTGCCCAGATGCTCCTCGTCTCGGATGTGGTTGAGCATTGAGGGCCATTGTCTTCTGCCCTGGAGAAGTTAGCATCCCAAGATCCTTTGGACTTTTGCCAAAGTGGAAATGCCAAGAGAGGGGCACCCCAGGCAAGACTGGGAGAGTCTCTGCTTCCAAATTCTTTCCATAAAAAAGTTAACATTTCGTGGGTCAGAGAGCCTGTGCGGCTGGCAGCTAATTTTGGAAGAACGGAACAAACTAAGTAGTACAAGGGAACTTGCTATAATTAGCAATTTCATTATCCACTAAATCTCACAGAGGGGGGCTATTTTATGCTACAAAGGTTCGTTTGTTCTCCTCTTGGCCTTTGAGTTGGCACGGAGGGCCCTGGGCGCCTTGCTCCGTCCAGCTCAGGGCTCCAGAAAGGCTGGTTGTAGAGATGTCAAACTTCTTTCAAAGGCCAGGATTTCAGGCAGGCTCCTCATCCATCGCTGGACCCTGCAAGGGCGTTGTAGGGGCAGGGCCCTCTTGGGGCTGTCTGTCTGTCTCCAGAGCATCCTTGGAGGGGCGTCTGGAAAGAGCCCCACTGGGGGAAGGTGTCTGGCATCGGGAAAGGACTCAAATAGGTCCTTTACCCAGGACGGTATTCCAAACCGGCGCCTTGCACCCTACGCCTGTATATCCTAACCGAACGTCCACCTGTTTGTTGCTGGGCCGGCTAGGCCACAAGTGACCAGACTCACATCCGAGGCAGCCAAAGCCGAGCCCACCGCCGGGGGGGGGCTTCAAAGTTGGGAGAGGGGCTTCTTCAATCCTGTCGGTCCCTCCGGCTCTTTTCCTTTCCAGCTTGCTCTGCTCCCGTGCTGGAATCTCCGGCAGCCAAAGGGTTACTTCCAGGGGAAATAATGAAAGGAAAGGGGTGTCCAGCCCCACTTTATAGGTGAGGCGAGTGGAAAGAAAGAGGCCTACTGAGTTGTTCCGCTGGCAGCCTCCAGCAGGGAAGTGCTCCCCGGAGAGCCTGGTGCAGGACGGGGGAAGCGGGCTCCCAGGCTTCCTGCCCCACAGCCACAGGCCAGCCTTAGGCGCGCTGCTCCCTCCCGGCCTCCCCGGTGGGGCTGGGCTGGGGGGGCA